GTGCGTGATCGGAGTCCAGACAAGTTGACCAGTACGATAGCTGGTCTGTTATGCTTCCACTCCATCTGTAGCTTATTGCTATGTGGTCAAACTGGGACCATTCTTGCGTTTGAGAATGCGGACGCCAGGTAGCAGTCTGTTTATTTCGAATACGAAAACTTTTACTCGAAAGAAACAAGCGATGATCAGAACAAAGAGTCACTAGTCTGTCTTCATTGTCTGATCGGCTGTTACCGAAGCCAAAAGTACCCCCAAGCTGGTGCTCGTTTGGTGGCAGGCGGTCCACTCGTGCCTTAAAATCTCAGGCAAGAATGACAATGTCAGACTTTTTAGCGCAATGCAGAAACTTGTGTAGGTGTTGGTTAAAGCAATCCTTGACTGCATCCAGGCGACAGTCTATAGGAACGTACGCGGAGGTGACAAGCAAGGCACGCGTAACTTCTCGACGCTTACTTAACTTACATGAACCTCGTAGTCTGACTGCACATAGCCGACTGTTGACTGGGATCCATTCAGGCAAAGCGACCTCAGCCCTGTCACTCAGTGCAAACCCGACACCAGTTTAGCCAGAAGCGGCAACCTCTCGGTCTCCGGAAAGGTTCAAGTGGTATTAGACGTCAGGGTTTGCAGGAGATGTCATTCTGATGACGGTACTGGCGTCTTGCAACTTAGTTTCGGAATGGCAACAGATGTTCACCAAAAGTATCTCAAGCGTGCGTGCCAGACATGCTTTTTGTCCGATCTGCATCAGAGTGCGCACATTGAACGCTGCGAGGCCGAATGGAGAATCAAGACGAAGGTAAGTTTGAGCTTCGGTTAAGTGTGTGGATGTGTGGCCACCGGGCAACGAACACCAGATGTTTACTTCAGAACTCTGTCAAATGCGATCAATGAGCTGTTGTTGACGCTGACCGGGGAAGACATCCATACAGTTGAGTAATAAGACATTGGACGATCTGTGAGCGGATCTTGAGCAGCAGAGACAGTAAAGCCAGTAGACATAGCAAGAGGGAAAGCAGTAGTGTAGTCAATCCATGGTTCGTCAGTTGGCGTAATACTACCCCGCTGATCAGGCTGAAGTAGAGGGTTGTCTTAGGGGGCCCCACCCCGGGCCTTTGATCCAGCATCTAACTTACAAGGCAGCAGGGCGATATGAGGGTATCGTATCCCGTTAGAAGCCGTTGACCAAACTAATGGTTCATACGCCTTTTGAACCGCATAGGATCAGGGGTTCAACACACCCTCGCATTACAATACCGCTCAGAGAGAAGCAAGAGGCAGTGATCTTATTTAGTGGCGAGTCACATCCGCCAAGCCACAGGGTTGTTAAATGGACATATTTGGCTGTTTATAGGGAGAACGCTTGCCATGGGCGAACCTGCCACGTCCTGGACCACTGTCACCGAACCATTCACTGGAACGGGATAATCCTGAACCACCCAGCTGTCACCACGAGGTGATTGTTCGGCAAGTCAGTCAGCAGGAGCAGCTGTTGATATCCGCGGCATAAGCGATTTTTCCAAAACTTTGAGTAGTATACTTGTACACGCATTCGGGCGATACTAATGGGATTCCTATTTGAGAACTGGAGGGTTTCTGGTCGTCCCCAAATATCGAGGGTCGCGTATATGACGAGATGGTTATTGAAGATATCCGGGAGAATCCGCGTACTTCCTTATAATCACTGGTGAGAGACCCTCCGAGCCATTAGCTTTGTTTGACCTTAGTCTTTTGAGTTCCCCTATGAGGTGTCGGTGTTTTGCTTTTTCTGGTACTGCGATGTTTGATTACCACAGGCTGTTGTGACTCTGAGTTCCAGGCATATACCGTCGTTTTCTAGACTTGGTACAATTTTGCCTGTTGACTAGTCATATTCCAATTTTTGTGGTCCATGTGATTGATAGCAGAGCAACACTGCGGCTGATGTAACCCTAATGCGAGTTATTTATCATTCCAATTTTATGTGGACCACGCCATGTTCTCATTCGCTTACCATTCACCATTAGCTTTGTGTTCGCTTCAGATGTACATAAGAGTGCTTTTGTTTTGTTTTCTAAATTCCTCTTTAGTACTTTGCTTCATTCTACTCTCTTATTGTTAGTGTATGCGCATCATTTCTCAATCTTATAATTGTTGTGGCGAATGTGACATTATTTGTCTGTGAGACATCAATCCCATGTGCGATTTTATTATTTGAATGGAGTTTGTTTGATTTTTGGCCCCAACTCTTGGCGTCCATTAGTTACCACCTTATTCCGTTACATCCTCATCTTTCCTACTTGTTCCCGTAGGATGCACTTCCCTTGCTTTCTTCTGATGCCATATGTCTTAAGCATATCTTGAAGCAAAACCCTACCAATTGGTATATCCGTCCATCACCGACTAACGGTGAGTCTGTACTATGCTGATATGGCTGGGCCATAATTCGCAAATCGAATCACGACCTCTTTCAAGCATCACACGGCGAAATCGTTTACCCACTTCGTCCTTTGTTGAAATCTTTCACTCAACTATCCCACTGTTTGCGTGAATCCCCCGTCCCACTCCTTACTATAAGGAACGCTGTCTTCATTGATCCTCGCGAATATTTGTAGCTCGGGATGCGGATGAGGGTATACGGGTGTTCTCCGAGCTGGTTGATTTGGTTGCAGACGTTTCATCGTCAGGCTAGACGACATCATCAGTGCGGTTTATGCGAGCCACTAGCAGATCCAAGTGATTATTGATCACTTGATTCGAACGTCAGGAGTCTATTGGTCCACGTGAGCTGACCGTGTAGTCAACTCTTGCGTACTATTAGCTAAAGTCCGCCTCAATGATGTTCCTTTGTTTCTTTGATCTGGGGCGGAGTATTGTTTTAACCCTCAGTGCTTCATAGGCAGTATCAAGGTCTAAGTGTCGGTTGATTGAGTTCTTTCCCGAGTACCAAGCCTCAATGAACTCGCGTGCTTTTCGAGTTTTTGCCCTGCCTATGATCCTGACATTCTTCAAATCAAACTGATGATTCTCGGCATCCATATGTACCGACATCAGGGAGTTCTGATCATGTCGGCGGATGTCTAGGTTATGCTAATGTAGCTTAGTGCCGAGCTTTCTTCCTGTCTGGCCCACATAGTATTTGTCGCAATTTTTGCAGTGGATTTGGTAAATCACACCACTTGTTTCTTCTTTGCCAAGCCGGTCTTTACCATTGAAGAGCTTGTCTCGGATGGTTTCCGTCGGCTTGTGAGCAACTCCTATTCCGAAAGGTAGTAGCAGTCTAGCCGCCATCTCAGAGACACCATTTATGTATGGTAGAGTGATTGTCCTTTTAGCCGTTTCTGATGTTTGTTCATGCCTCGGTCCCTTTACTGATATTAAACAACGCAGAATGAAATTCTTAGGATACCCATTCCGTGTAAACATTTCGAATAGATGATCTTCCTCCGCTTTCTTCATCTGCGGGGTGCTGCAGTGTGTCTGCGCTCTTTTAAATAGAGTTGTTAAGCAGCTGCGCTTGTAGACTGTTGGATGATTGCTGCGATAATTCAGGATTTGGTCTGTATGCGTCGCTTTCTGATAAACTGTTGTCTCCAGTTGTCCAGCAGCATGTCTTTTTACTAACACATCCAAGAATGGTAGCTGATCATTGTTCTCCTTTTCTTTAGTGAAACTGATACCAGTAAACGTGTTGTTTATTAACTAATGTGTTTCTTCCAGTTTCGAGCGCTTTAGGATGACGAAAGTATAGTCCACGTAGCGTAGCCAGAGTTTAGATTTTGCGACCGGGAGTGCGGTTTCCTCCAATGCTTGCATCACCGCTTCGGCCACTAGTCCAGATATCGGTGAACCCATTGGCGTGCCTGTTATTTGTTCGTAGGTTTGGCCGTTGAAACTGAAGTGTGTCGTGAGGCATAAATCCATCTATGGCATCTACTTTATTGTTCGTGTCTGAGGACCCGCGTTGGTCTAGTAGTGTTGCCATCGTTTGCTTCGCCAGCTTGGTGTTGATTGAAGTGAACAAAGCTGTTACGTCAAAGGAAACCATGATTTCGTCCTCTTCTATTACTGTTTCCCTGAGCTTAGCCAAGAATTGCTCTGCAGATTGTATGGAATGTTCCGAGCCAGAGATCAGGTGCTTCAATCTCTTCCAGAGTTCTTTGGAAAGTTTGTAATTCGGAGCTCCAGGTAACGACACGATAGGGCGGAGGGGGACTCCACTTTTGTGAACTTTTGTCAGGCCGTAGAATCGCGGTAACACCGAATCCTCTGGTTTCATCTTGCTGTGTTCTAATTTTGTAATTTGTCCCATTTGTTCCAGATTTTGTAGGGTGCGTTTGATTTTGTTTTCCAATCGTTTTGTGGGATCTTCGTTTACTGGTTGGTAGGTGTTCATATCTTGAAGGAGTTCTTGCGCTTTCTTCATATAATCTGCTTTGTCCATTACAACAGTAAGACGTCCTTTATCAGCCGGTAAGATAACGATATCTTTAGCTTTCCTAAGGTTTCGTAACGCTTTCTGTTCAGTTGTGTTAAACATGTCGGTTTCACTCTTGTGCCTCAGTGCTGGAATGATACTGTGTCTGATCGTGTGTTGGGCGTCAGCTGTGAAGTTACATGAGCTCAGTGTTGTCTCAAGCTCTCTGGCTTCTCCTCTGGCTTCATGTGTTACTTTTTGAGGTTCTTTTTCATGTCAACTTTAAGTTACTTTCGTTCACCGGGGCTGCATTTTTCATCCCTTTCATCCCATCCAATTCCTTATTTAAACCGCTTACATAGATATAAATTGAACGCGTTGGACATCTGGTGCCACAAAAACCCGGCAAATGGCGCAATTGTGTCAGTTGGAAGAAAGCGAAGTATGACATCAATTATCTCCCTTGCCAGGCTCAAACATTTTTTGCCAAGTTTGACTCATTCCTCAAAGTCACGTGGCATGGTTTCCGTTACCCCGCTAAGCCAATGGCTACAATCGATGACTAGATGATCGAACCTTCTCTTCTTTCCTTATTCCCATCAAGGTGCAAACAACGAACTAGCAGTGAAAGTGCTCTACAATTACTACGCCGCTTTTCAAGTGGATTCATTCCTTAACAATGGTGTCCTTGGCAAGGAGGTTGACAATACTGCTTACATGCTAGACCAATCAGTGAACTGGGTCCTTTTGCACCGACAGCTGGAACGCGAGTGTGGTCTCAGGCCACCTTTGGGTCACCCGAACATTGTCCCCCTTGTCGGTCATTTCGTCGCCCGAGCTCCTACTTCTCACGGAACGCCTGAATCCCTTCACGTACTCCCTGAAACATCTCCAGATCACGGTATTTCATCTTCAACCTCTTCATATGTAGATTTTTCCCTCAGAGATTCGCGGACCCCACCATGCGTATGATTTTTCAATTTCCGGTGATTGGAAAAGAGCTGATGAATTTGCCGAAGGATTTGGTGGACGTCCTCTCACATATTATCTACTGATGCCGAGGTGAATCATTGCAGTTATCTTTATCATGCTCCGTGTTGCTTATTTTAAGATCCACTTACTTCTCGCGTTTTGGAGGTTTTTTCTGGTTTAGCGCTACTAGTTGATATGACTGACGTATTCAGGGTTACGTAAATCTGAGATTTGTGATGATCTATAAGGTACACTTAAGCATTGGTGCGCCTGGTGACTGAGCTTGCAGTGTTCGGCTCTGATACACCAAAAGCTAGGGATATGTTGCGTGCGTACGTGCTCTCCTGTTCTTCAATTCCTCAGCTATGGCTGCCGATTGATGAAGTTGCATTACCTGCATTCCAACGTGATTTGGCTCAAATTAAGCGCTCACGTTGCCTGCCTCTTTTCATGTGTTCGTTCTACCAGATGTGCGAAATGCCCATCTTGCTATACCACCTGTGTTCCCTTGTTTTGTTTGTGCGGGACAGACTCTATTTGGTTTGCCTAAGCTGCATATCGCTACAGTTTTAGAAATTTTACCTTCGCCATCCCTTTTGATTATTTTCGTGATCTCCATTTGCACCCGCAGAAGCACCGCCAAGTGTTCAACTCCTACACACATGTGTTGTTTTGATCGTTCATTCACTTAGGTTTCAATCAACTCTAGACGAACTTCTTAGTGGCGCATGGCATCCACCAATCACGAAAGACAGCCGAAAAGAGGCCGAAGACAGGGAACTGTTCTCCACTGATTCATCTAATGGGAGGGACGTCGCCGTTGAACCAGAGAAAAGTCCGATTTCATCTTCCGATAGTTCCGATCCTATCGTTCTATCATCCTCACTCCAAAATGTCGGCAATGAAGCATCATCCAGGGACTCCCCGCCTTGTCATCTAGATCCGGACGAGGCGGTTGCCATCCTCGCCCAACTATTTGATGCAGTAGCGGAGCTAGAACGCTTGGGGGTATCTCACAGAGATATAAAGGGGAATAATATTCTACTCCGTCTGCGAACTCCTCCACAAATGACACATTTCAGGAGTGCCAGTCGGAATGTTACGCCTACCGCCTGTTTGGCTTGGTTAGACAGTGAGTTTATCATATTTGCCACTCATGTTTTTCGCAGTTGGTACTCTAGTGGGTATCCACTTCCTACATCTTGTAACAATCTTCCCTGTCTGTGACAACTTACTAACCCAGATACCTTGATACAACCATTCTTCTATCAAACAATTTTGGTGCCCTTGTCTAATCCTACTTAGGTGATCTTATTTATCTCTCTCGGTCGTTAATATAATTTCCGGTGACATGTATCCAGACAACTGCATCTACCTTCAATGCATCGTTTGCTGTTACTTGCATGAGCTCACTCACCATATACAGAAATTTGGCCCAACTTCGCTTGACCGTAACTTGGTTAAAATGAGGGCACTCATACAGTTCGTGTGTCTTCGCATCTTTATCTGACTATTTTTACCTCACGCTTTATCCTAAACTCTTCAATTTCCATCAGTTCATGAATTTTAGTACCATGATCTCGGCGAACTTCCGATGATTCTCGGCTTTAACATCACCACGTGCCGTGCATCAGTACTCTGCATTCGCGTCTCTCTTTCATGAAACCATACGATCCTACTAATGTGAAACACTATTTTAGAAGGAGAGGCCTGGCGTAGAGTCGGAATGTTCCAAACATGCCTTTGCGATCACGCTACCCACAACTTACCGACGATTCACCATTAAAAATAGTTGTCTATCGATCTTAAATAATGCGGCTTCAACAGGACAACCAATCATTGTGCACCTCACTACTCCGCGTCACAATCAACCTAAACACGCAGTTAAGGTAGTGCCATTCAGAATTTATACAGGTGATCATTCAATGAGACAACGACGCACGTGTCAGTAATTTCGGTTGTCATCCATGTTACACCCGAGGGGAATCAGAAACATTTGTAGGCCAATGTATTATCGTGATACCGACTAAGCATAAGATGTATCAGAGCATTTGACTTATAGTTTAGCGCGTAGTAGTGTACGCTATGTTCTAAACTAGTGCTGGATCATGCGGAGAGAGCATGGGCCACTGAGCGCAGTGAAGATAAGTGATGAGTCACATGAGCTAATTTACGGACGCACACACGTTACATATACACTGCAGCCTGTCACGGTAAAGCGTTAAGCATCCTTACCGGCCGACTGAGGATGCATACCCTGTACAGACTGTATCGCTTGGGGCTTAGTCCGGTAGCTGATGCGGCCCGACAAGGGCAGGCATCAGCAGTACGCCGGTACGAAGTATCGATGCTTCACTGCCACGCAATTACCACCAGTAGCACGCGGGTTAGGATACTACGTGGATTGGCCGGTCCCTACGCAAGCTCGAACCCGCGCCCTCGGATTGCAAGCTAGGCTTGTGATCCTGAAGGCTACGAGCCAGCCAGTCCAACAACATCTAGCTTATACGTTAGACACATCCTTTTTCTCTGCGGGGTCAACCGTTGTCTCCCCCTCCTTCGATCCTTGTGACATACATCATCCGGAAAACGCAACATACCCGTCCTCGGTCAACACTAACTAGATCTCCATAGCCCCTGCTCTAGCCAACAACGCGTATTTCTCTTACTTATTAACCTAAGGAATTAAAGTGACCATCAGTTCCTAGTACTTGCCTGCACATCTCATTGTCGCGGACACACTGGTAGCATCTGTTGTGGTTTCCGCTGTCCTTGCGGATAATTTGCTACCACTGCGCAATCGGAAGCGGCAGACTTCCCAGATCGGGGAACAAAGGCCTTTGACAAAACCTTGATTGGGCGACTGACAGCAATATATCCAAAGCTAAGATCAAAATAAATAGTTCATAAAAGATCACATAGCTGAAATTTCCATCGCAACGAGACTGAACCTTAACATGGTGCGATGGTTTGTGTAACCCTGTGACCCGTTTAGCTACACTGCGTGGCACTTTAAAGTGCCTTCAGAACCACTCATACCAGACAGGTCATTAGTTAGGGGTCAGACAAGCTCTGTTTCACAATCGCCCCGCTGCCTTGCGCAGTCTATTTAGCCTAAGATTCGGAATGCAGTCCCTACTTCGGCTTGGGCAACCGGGTAGTATCACGCTCGCTGACAAAACCATGGACTGTTCAACTGCAATATCGCTCTCAGCTGCTTTTGTTCCTTCCAGTCACTCACCTTCACACGCCATCTGTTCATTTGTTACCAATCAGTATTATCCGTTACCAACTAATTCTTGTTTCCGTGATTCTACTCCGGATGGTTTCGTCGACATCCAGAGGGCTCGCACAGTCGCACTCCATCGGCATCGGTCTTCGTTCCGTCTGGCATGCTTCAATGTACATACACTCAAGCAAATCGGGCAACAAGTTGGGCTTGCGCGCATCCTGAAATCCCTCGTTATCGATCTTTGCTGTCTTTCCGAAATGCGCTTACAAGATCCCAGTACTGTGATTGAGTTGAGATCTTCCACCCACCACGGAACGAAATTTCACCTACGTCTATCTGGTAACGCAAAAACAGCTGAGGCAGGCTTGCCTAGCGTTGGTGTAGCGCTAACTAGCAAGGCCGAGACAGCACTACTGGACTGGTTCCAGAATAATAGCCGTGTGCAGTTCGACTTCGGGGATCATGCAAGATAAACCGATGTCGTGAGGAGAGACGCAACTTGTTTGTGCTCTCAGCTTACGTTCCAACTGGCTGCAGTTCTGACTCTGTCAAGGACCATTTCTACCGTGTACTTCATCAGCTCTTGAGCAGAGCCCGCAAACCTGACATTGTTGCCCTTGCTGTGGATCTCAACGCACGGGTCGATAGTCTGCTGGCATGCGAAAGTCACCTCGGTGATCACCATACGCTCGATGAGAACCGCTCAGATAATGGAGAGAGACTTTTCGCACTGTGCGAAGATATTCATCTTTTTCTCTCTAGCACCAGCTTTCGGCATTCGAGGAGACGTTCCACTACTTGGCGATTCCCTTCTGCGTCACAATCATGGTCTCATGGTCGCAATCAGTTTCGGATGGAGAGGTATTGTAAAGCATTGCAGATCCATCTGGTCCACTGTTCTTGACTCAGACCATGCTCTTGTCTATGCGAATATCTACATGAGTTTCGGAGGGTCCCCGAAAATAAAGCGCTGTAAGATAGACCCAAATAAACTATCTAGTATTTCGGTTCAGCAGTTATCAAGCTTCCGTGGCTGGTGCACTCGTCTGCGACCCACCGCAAGATATTGATGGACACTGCACGTGTATGCAGAGGACCATGATATCTTCCGGACAGCAAGTCTGTGATCTTACTCCGCACTCTATAAAGGCCTGGATCTCCACGCGCTCTTTAGGTTTATTTGACCGCCGCAGGAATATCCCAGCGGAGTCTATTCATGATGAAGAGCGCCGTTCTACCAACCGGCTGCTCAGACAAAGCCTACGCAGTGGCCGTGTAGTCTGGCCCAGCGTACTTCGGAAATGGAGGCCGCTGCCCTTTCTGACAATATTCGCAAGCCCTTCCAGCTCATTCGACTCACTGGCCACAGAAAGCCTGGTGTCAGTGTGACTATACGCGAAGCCGATGGTTCGCTAATTGCCAACTTACAGAAACGCTTGGTCCGATGGACCGAACGTTTTCATTCCCAGTTTGATTGGCCTTCACAGTCCACTTATATGCCCTGCGAACCCAGCTGCCCGCCTTGAGTCGTCACACTTGATCTACCCGGCGAAGCTGAAGTTTGTCTTGCGATTCGCCGCCTAAGACGATTGAAGGCTGCCTGCTCAGACGGACTTCTCCGGAGCTGTTCAAATACGGAGGCTCAGTTATCATTAGCCAGCTAACCTCGTTGGTCTCCAAAATCTGGCATGAAGAAAAGGTGCCTTCTTCCTTGGGCGACTCAGTTAGTGTCCTGGTTTTAAGAAGGGTGCTCGCACTTCGTGTACCAATCACCGGCGAATTAGTCTTATTTCGATTGCCTCCAAGCTATTGACATCCATTCTACTCCGTAGACTATCTCGCATTCACGAATCGCAGTACCGGGAAGAACAAGCTGGCTTCCGACCTGACCACGGGTGTGTGGATTAGATATTCACACCTTCAAATTATGGAACACCGCCACCTTTACCAGAGGCCTGTCATCGTTACATTCATGGACATCCTCGCCGCGTTCGACTCGGTTGATCGACCTGCTCTAAGGACCTGCTAAGGACCGGTGTCCCCGAAAACTACACTGCCATCCTACGCGCACCGTATTTCCACAACTCTGGCAGAATGAGGGTGTAGGGCATGTTTTCGTCATCCTTCGCTGTCATTGGCGGTGTACGACAAGGCTGCCCTATGTCCCCGTTTCTCCACAATTTTGCGATTGTAGACTTCCTGTCGAGAGCTCTAGACGGTTACCAAAGTTTTGGCATGCAGCTATTATCAGGTAGGCTAGCAACCGATTTAGTTTATGCCGGTGATATCGCCTTACTTGGTGAGGACTCACAGAGCATGCGAACCATTCTAGACCGCTTTGCGATTGAGGCATCCAGGTACGGAATGTGCTTTGCCCCGTCAAAGTGCAAAGTGCTGCTTCAAGATTGGCACTCAACTGTTCCCGTGGCTGCATCGATCAAATCTTCACACTCCGCCATGTGTATCAGAGACCAACGATTGCTGTGTTCTTGGATATCCTTGCAGCCTCCGATTCTGTCGACGGGGCTGCATTATGGCACAGTCTGTTGAGGAATGGTATCTCCTGGAAGTTCGTTTCCATTCTGCGTGCTCTGTATAGTCTGACCTTGAGTACAGTTAGGGCTTATGGCAAACTCTCGCCTTTCTTTGTTGTCACTATTGGGGTTCGACAAGGATGCCCTATCTCTCCATTCCTTTTCAACTTTGCCATTGAGGATGTCCTCAAAAATGATCTAGAGGACTTGTTGAATGCTAGCGTTGAACTCCTCCCAGGTAGTTGGGTGGTTGCTTTGGATTATGCTGATGATATCGTCCTGCTGGGTGACGACCCCCACGCCGTCAAGCTTGCACTAAACCACTTGGCGGTTGAGGCATCAAAGTATGGCATGTACTTTTCGCCA